TTAGGAGACATAACTGTCATTATTTCTATGTGTTTAGACCTTGTAAGAGATGCTGAACATGTGAAGGTTAAGCGATCACCACACAGAGCCACCTTGGGAAGACACATGTGGAGAGCTGCTTCCAAACACTCCCAACCTTGAGACCTCTGTGGGCAGCTCACCAGCAGTTGGCAACAACTGGACAGCAGCTAACAACAGCAACATGCTGGGTAGGAGACTAGGGATGTATGCTTCTCGGCATATTTTTCATTTTTTCCAAATATTTTGTGACAATGAATGTTTTCAACCATGTAAAAAGTTACATTTTATGCAAACAAAGGCATAGAGACACTGTACATACCGTTAAAGTCACTGTCTCCTGTAGCTCCATCGAGGCCAGAACTACTCAAATCAAACATATACCGTCCCAGGAAACAGTGCTGCACCATCTGGCTCAAATGCTCGTAGAAATGGCAGTGGTACAAGAGGGCTTGAAGGGCAGGCTTTCCTACAAGGGACAGGCCAGAGTCCTCATCGTGGACGCAGGGGCCCTGTCGGAAACCAGGGAAGAGAAGAAGAGACGGACACGGGTTCAGAGAGTTCCTCATAAAAGACGCCCGTGCCCGTGTCTCCAACAAGTCCGTAGAGTCGCTGTGTGACAGAATCGACTTGATGAGAATGCATTTGTTTTGCAGGGTGCATTCAGTTTGTTTTTTATGGTTTTTATTCTATCACAAAATGTGAACAAGCAACCACTAGTAGAAGGCAGCACTGTTGGACAAATCACCAGGGCCCAGTGTAAAAGTGGCCTGGGAGTTACAGGAAGTCTCCAACTGAAGCTGGGATTGTAAACTGTGGAGACGTGGCGTGTGCCCTGAACTTGGACAATGCCACCGCTGCTGGGATGTCCTCTTCACAGCTCAGCCTGACTCAATTGATTCTCCCGGGAGGACTACGGTGCTTCAGAATAAGGTACAAGTAACATAGTGACAGCTACACCAACTTAGAGACCCACAAGCGCAGCCCAAAGCTTCTCATTACAACTCTGTCGCCCCTGCTGCGCTTCCGCCTCTTCACTGACGCGACATCCGAGGACAGAAATCCCACGTTTGAGCCGGACTTAAGGGCTGTAGCACAAGGAGATTCATGTTTAACAGTGACTACACAACCGCCACTCGTCTGTCTGTCGTGCTGTGGTGGTTTGAATTGCTGTGATTCTGAGGGCTATGCCACCGGTATTTTAAATAACCAGCAGGGTCACCCATGGTGGACAGGTTTCAGAT